GGGAACAGGGCACTTTGCCCCATCGGGGCAAAGGAAGACTGAGAGACAGAAGTTGCCGTGACGGCAGACTTGTCACTACCCTGTATGTCCTTGTGTGTGTGGTTTGCAGCCACAGACCGTAGGCGGGCACTATACTTCATCAGTGCTCTAACCCTAACCCTAGGAAAGGGGGCTACATGTCCACAGACTCATCAAGCCAATGGAGGACTGAGAGACAAAAGTTACCGTACGGCCAGAGCGGGCATTGCCCCACATGTCCTTTTGCATGTGCCTTGCAGCCACACTCCACCTGGGGCTCTGTGATATATCACTGCTCTAACCCTAACCCCAGAGCGCTTTAACACCGCTCTAACCCAGCCCTAGGAAAGGGGGTGACATGGAACTTGTCCCTTTAGACCACTGGGAGATGGAGAGACAAAGTTGTCATACGGGCACGCTTGGTGTCATCCCGCATATCTTTTCCAATGTGCTTTGCAGTCACACTCCACATGGGGCTCTGCGCTTCATCACTGCTCTAATCCAGCCCTAGGAAAGGGGGTGATGTGGAACCCATCCCTTTAGACCAATGGAAGACTGGGAGACAAAGTTGTCATACGGGCACTACTTGCTTTAAAGGCATTGGTAAAATTAAATGAGTGTGCAGTATTTTGGGTTTTGGAATAAAATGTACATCGTTTTGTTTTATGCATGCTTTTTAAAGTTGTAATATTGTGCTTGGAGTGGAGAATATATTTTTCAAAGGCTCCTTATTAACTGTTTAGTGTAATGTAAGAGTATCTAGACAACCAAAATGGAAAGGCAGTCTTTACAACTGTTTCACTAAACTGACAGTTTTTAAAGAAGAAATCAATATACTGTAATGAATAATGGTATGTTGGATTTGTGAGTCAGGCTCATAATTTTTAATTTGTTTTAGGACTTATTTTCATTTTTTTTTGAAATGGAAGAACTAATCAGAGGAACAGCTGTTGCAATTGAATGGCTACATGATCCTATCCTTCCATCTGCAAAGTTTTAATATAATTTACTACATAGGTGTTTTCTACATGGATGAAGCATATAGCCATTGGCTCTAATATTGATTCTTACCCATTACAGTTATAAAGAAATTCTGAATCTGTGTTTTGTATTTATAGTTATAAAGAAAATTATCTTGGCTGCCTTTTAAGCCTATGCTGTGATTCTGGAAATAAGCAGTGTCAGTTCTCTAATATTATAGTGACAGCAGTTGAGTCTCTCTGTTCCTGGAGAGCTCTTGCAGCATCTGACTGTGGTTTTACCCTATATCTGACACCTTTGAACACTTCAGCTACTTTTGTGATGGTTTAGAAGTCAAATCAACTGCCTTTTTGTGACTTGTTTTGCTGCTAGTTATCAACTGTTATCATAGTGGTCTAATGATCATGGGATAAGGGCATAGTGAGCAGCAGAAACATGTGCCCAGTGCACATGGATGCTGCGGGTGGGAGGGAAAGATACTGGAATTCTTCCAATTTCTACCTTTCTGTCAGAGTTAACAGTAAAGCTGGATAATGTGAGATTGTATGTTAACTTTTCTGTGAGGTCTAGTTATGTGTGTTAAGCGCCATTCAAAACCCACTCTTAAACATCACTGCTAGAGTAGAAGATATTGCCTGACTTTTTCAAGTAGTATTTTGATAGAGCATTTGATGAAAAAGTGAAGGTATGAGTTTGTTTTCACACCAAGCCAAGGGACTTGAACCTCTTTTTCTCCACTCCTTAAAATGCTATTCTATTTAGAGGTTTTAGTCTCAGTCAGGAAAGATATATTTGTACTTATCAGTTTGGGTTACTGCAGCAGCAAATGCAACGTGGTGGTGAGGTGTTTAGCTACTAGCTGCGTATTCAAGCTGTAGACTACAGAGGAGAGGGCTATTTAGTCTCTGTTTTAAAAACATCCTTCCTTGTTCTTAGTTCTGCTTTCCTGGAACTAAATACTGTGTAAATGCAGTATTGGAATACAACTTTAAAATTCACCAGAACTGAAAATAGAATGTCTTGCAGCAATAGAACTGTGAATAAACAAGAAAATTATCTTGAGTATTCATGGCTTTTGTTTAATTGAGTGTTTTGAATATTCATTGATTTTTGGAATCTACCTGTGGTTTACTGTATGATGTCAGGCTGAAGGCAAGCTGCTAAAGCTTATTTAAGTGTTACCTATATTCTTCATGCATTATATATTTCTTGAAGCATTTTGAAGTAGATTTCTCAGCTGTATGCCTATTTAGTTACTGATCCTTGATAAATCTAGTAGACTCCTAGCAAAACCATTATGTGCTTTCTAAGCTTTTAAAGGCATTAACAGGGATTGCTTCTAATATGCTTTAGTGGCTCAGTATTTAGTAGCAAAGACTGTCATCTAGTTTTTAAGTGACAGACTACTTATTTTCTCTGTCTGCTTTTCAGAAGCATAGGGCATTTTGTCTTTCCTTATACCTTGAAGCTAATGAGCTCTATTTATGTAGGCTTCTCTTATTCCTCACTTCTGTGCTTGCTGATTGCAATTGCCTATATTTTGAACTGTATCAAAATTTGAAATCATTCAAAGCTTTCTCATACAATTTGACACCATTTGTTAAGTACAGAGGTTGTTTTTAGCGCTCTATAAACAAAAGTATTTTCTTTGTGAGAAAAATACTTATGTGTAAAGAATGATTGTGTATACAAACAGATTTTCTTCTGCTGGTTCATATTGAAAGAAGGAATTCTGAAAATGTTTGTTCTTAAAATGTTCAATTTAGTTATGCAGGTTATTTTTCATTGTGTCACTTGATCTACCATTTCAGCAAAGATAGTGAATTTGGCTCTTACTTGACTCTCTGGATATTACTCTCCGTATTTTATGGATCTTACAGTTCTCAAACAGCAAGATAAAATCCCCTGTTCGCTTAGAGATGGGTAAAGTCTAAGAATTTGTTTGAGCTGAGATGTATTGCACTACTTTTACAATAATGAGCTAACTTTTTGTATAGCTACAATTGCCCTACTGTGAACTTTGAGGATACTCATTTATTGTATTTGCAGATGATTCCTTGTTGTCATATGACAAATAGAGCTTTTAAAAATTCAGCTGAGACTTGCATCTTTTTTTCTGTTTAGAGAGGACTGCATCTACATTGCCTTCTCATTTTCCCAACTTGTTATTTATACTATTATATAGTAATCTGAGATAGGGACAGTTGGATCTATCACAACCCCAGAAATGCAACAGTACTGTAGTTCTGAATTGCAAAGGTAGCATAAGATGAAAAATATGCTGAGAACTACAGGAAAATGCTGAGAAGTTTTGTGGTATGTCTGCACTGGAATAACCTGCATAAGGTATGTAGTGAGGAATATTTTGGTAAGTATCTCCAAGTCAGAAATTGGTCATCCATGTAGTAGTAGAAATGGTCTTGTATCTCAACCACTGAGCTATGAATATGGTATAAAGATGGTGATATGCTGTCACGTAAAACTAGAAGAGTGGCCATATGAAGGTAGACTGAAGCATTCAATCTAGTACAAATTTCAGGATATATTGGCAAGGAGCCTTTTCATATGTATATGGTGATATCTACTGTTTCTGGTTTGCAGGTGGCAAAGCTAAGCAGCTAAAGGCAAAGCATATGCTCTAGAAATAGTTCAGTTAATAGGTTCAGTTTTTTTATTACACTTTAATGCCGCAGCATGGCAGAAGCCTTGTTGGCGAACCGGGAACTTTAGTATACGCTATAGGAGCTGGAATGACCACAGCTGCTGGCACCAGACTTGCCCTCCAATGGATTCTCGTTAAAGGATTTAGAGCGTACTCATTCCAAGTCCAGGGCCTTCGAGTCCACTCTCGCCATTTTTATTTTTATTTTTATTTTTACTTTTACTTTTACTTTTACTTTTACTTTTACTTTTATTTTTATTTTTATTTTTCCTTTCGTTTTAGCGGCGGGCGGACTGTTTCGTTTCGTTTTTTTTGGGCGCTGCTCCTGTGCCGTTCCCGGCGCGCGGGGCGGCCAGGGCGGCCGCGGCGGAGGTGACATCTTTTTATTGTATATGCCACACCAGACAGTGTGAGAGGCTTTGTTTTTGTATGGAAGTAGTGACCAGGATGAAATCCAGTCAAATCCAGATGTCCAACTAGATGCAACCTCCTTGGAAAGCATTTAGATATTTCAGAAAACTTTTTGAGGGATATTATCAAATCTGCTTGGTATATTTCTGTTAGAAATTGTGGACTCAGTTGCTTTTACGCTAAGTAGGGTTAGCACTAAGTTAAAATTCTACCTATCATTTATAAATGGTATCAAGTGATACCATTGTACCATTTAATAACATTCTGAAAGCTTTATTCTAGCAACTTGGACTGTTTTTGCTCCAGCTGTAAATACTGACTTCTAGAGATATATGTGTGTCTATATATATATATGTATATATATATATTTTTCTCTTAACGGTCATCGATTTTTTAAAGTTTTTTTAGACGGTCGGCATTTTTGTTGTTTTTGGCAGTGGTTTGTTGAAGGGTTCTCGCCTTTTTATTAGTCATTCGCGCCTTTATTTATTCATTTATTTTTCCTTGCCTGTCTTGGTAAAGGATTCACACCTATTTATGAAAAGGTGGCGCCTTTTCTTTGTATCCTGCCCCCTCCCTGGGGCGGGCTCCGTGGCGGAGGGAGGGGAGTCCGCCGCACCTCGCACACTTTACGCGTCATTTTGGTTTTCTTCATCTCTTCTTTCTAACCGTTCGCGCCTCCATTCCCTTTTCCCGGTTCGTGCTCGGTGCCGCTGCTCCTGCCAGCCGTGCTACTCGA